ACGAAAGGTAACTAGCTAGACTGTTATAACGAGTGATGAATTACCTCATTTTGATATCTCTACTTGTCATTAAGAAGTTTTACCTTCAAGGATTATGCCTCATATATAGTTTGGTTGATATATTTAGAGTAATTGGCACCAATATACTTTTCTGAGTAGCATGATAAATATACTTTTCCTTGGCAGGTTACTCTAGTGAGGCAGATATTCTCAGACCACTCAGACATTGCAGAAGATTTCAAACCAAAGAATCAAGTGGTGAAGACAGAATACATGAATGTTCTCCTTGGCCTCATTGAGACACTAAACAAGCCTCTACATAGTCTCTCGGAGACTGAAATAAGCGACGCTCGCAGCGAGTTGAGTGAGCTGATGGACGAAGGTTTCAAGCTGGAGTGGTTGAAGAAAAAGCTTGAGAAAGTTTCCTTGGAGAGGAATAAGAAATCAGATGGTGTTGTTGATGGGACTAGTGTCCAAAAACTTGAGGAACGCGTCAAGAATTTTGAGCTGATGGATTTGGGAAGCTTGAAGTTAAAGCTTGATAAGGTTTCATTGGAGAGGAAGAAAGCAGATGATGCTGATGTGTCTCGGATCCAACAACCCGAGGAAAGCGTCAAGAAACTTGAGCTGATTGTGTCAGATCTCAAAGATGAACTGGAAAAGGAGAAGGCCAAATCATCTGATGCTGGTTATTTGTTGGTAAATGAGGTTGCTTGATGTAGTAATCAAGTTATTATTATTAGTTTATAGATTTTCTCTATATTATAGACACTGGGGGTGGGACGATTCCGGATATCCTGGAATTTCAGAGTATCCGGATCTGAAATCGTCGGATCCGTGAAAAAACTATTCGGATCTGGAATCGTGACCTCCGGATATCCGGATCCGAAATTAATATTAAAAATAATTAAAATAATTAATAAATAAATAAAAATATATTTTTAAAAAATATTAGTTAATATTTTAAATGGTATTTTTTCATTATAAATATAATTTATTATAAAAAGAACTAAAATCAATTTATATATATATTTATTTATATAAAATTAGTTTAATAGATATATAATATATATGGTTTTAATATATTTAATGCGTCCGGATCCGGATATCCGGACCTTAAAATTTTGCTATCCGGATCCGGATCCTCTTTTCACGCATCTTAAATTTTACTGTCCTTATCCGGATCCGGGCTCCCCAGATATCCTAATTTTCGGAGCGATTCCG